TTTCCATTACTAAGCAAGACAATTGTTAAGTGAGTTTTGCCTCATTTTACAATCTTTCTTGTCAGAGCTGTTAAGGGGATCACTGCAGCTGTTAAGTTAGTAACCAGGTTGTTAACTGGTTTACTTTGACTTTGCTTGTCAGAAGGCTGCAAAAGGGGATCACGTGGCCCCGGGAGACACTGCAACCGTCATAAATACATGCCAGTTGCCAAGTGTCTTAATTTTGATCCTGTGACCATGAGGATGCCCCAATGGTGGCAAGTAAGTCTGAAAATCGGTCACGATTCACATTTTTAAGTGCCGTTGTAACTTTGAACGGTCACTAAATGAATGGTTGTTAAGTCGAGGATTATCTGTAAACTGCCCAGAGTCACTTAGGTAAGATAGGTAGTGTAAATAAATAAACAAATAAATAAATAAATACATACATACATAATTGGCAATGGTTAAAACTTAACTTGAGAGGTTTCTGCATCCCTGCAGGTTATTTTCTGCCTGTACTTTTGCCTTTTCTAGCTTACTGTTTTATTTTTGTTCCAAGCCTCTTCCATGGCATGGGATAAAGACCTTGGACACACACACCCCTCCACCACCTCTATGGTTCCAAGGATGAACACCTAGGACCTCAGGCAGGATGCCTGAGACTCCATTAACAACATTGTAGACAATATTCCTTCTGCGATAACTCAGTACAACATAAGGCAGCTTCTTGGTGGTCCTCTTCAATTGCCCCAAATCATTACAAGGTCTTATTCTACATGGAACATCTGAAGGCAGAGAGCCTGCTGGTCATATTTGGCAACCCAATAAGCCTTCAGCTAGGTTTGCTCACTCAGATGTATAACAAATGTCTACTTTCAGGTAGACTGGTGGGATTTCTTTAACTGATAGAGTAGAATTGGTGCAAACCTCTCTGTTCACTGCTTACAATGATTCTGATACTGTCTCCTAGACTCCAATCTTGAATTGCAGTTCTACCAAGCATTACAGTACCATATTCCAGTGAATATGATTCTTCTTAAGGCATATATTAAGAAAACGTGCCACCCTCTTCCAAGACCCCTGTGGTCTCCCTAGCTCAGGAGTTCCCAACCAGGGGTGCTCGCACCCCCTGGGGGTGCAAGATGATATTCCAGGGGGTGCGAAAGCTTGGGTTTTCAAAATTATATGCATAATTCGTTGCTGTTATTTTGAACTTTTGTAAGGGGTGCGAGAATATATCAGAAGCGTTTTAGGGGCGCGGGGTATAGAAAAGGTTGGGAGCCACTGCCCTCCCTCAACCATGGCTTCCTCAAACTGGTTTCTGTGGTCAGAAGGAATCCCATTTTCCATTTCTCCCATCTTCCTTTCTGGTTCTGCACCCTCCATCTTTATTGGCCTGACACATCCGGGCTCAAATGGTGGAAATCAGAGAGGGAAGAACTGAACAACTATCTTTCCTCAGATTGTTGCAAATGACCAGGGATGCCTCCATTCACAAGTCCAGTCTGCCCAGCAGTGAAGAACCAGCCTCCCTTTTTTCCTCACTGTTATAGCATCTGATGGGAAAGAGGCCTGAATGTCTTAAAGGGAGGCAGCCTCAGATTTCCTAACCTTGCTAACCAGCTCCTTCCTCCATGTTCACCAGGAAGTGGTAGAGGAAGTCTAGAAGAGTCGTAAAGACACAGGTCACTCTCTCTCCCCACTCCCCTCTTGTTGTTGTTGTTGTTGTTGTTGTTGTTAAGACTGCCATTGGTATAACTGTGTTCACTATTCAAAATGAGGTCAAAAGCAATTGCACGTTTCTCCCATAACATCAGAGTGGCTCCTTTCTAGGTGGTACAAATGGGCCATGTTGGAAGAAAAAAATGGGTGGGAGACAATATGTCAAAAGATTGAGAAAATGCCGCTCTTCCTACCACTCAGGGAGACTCTGGATTCCTGCAAATTAAGAGATCAATCCTGAGACATCAGTAAAAACACCCCATTCAGCAACTCTGGCTTCTCCCCAACAGAGGAGCCTTATGGTTGATTTACTAATACCTGGCACAAAACTGGCTGGAGTGCAGCGTCCAGTCTCTGCTAGGAGATTTTGTCCATCCCCAATTTAAAAAAGCCAATCTCCACCCTCCAGTCCTTACTTTCCATCCCTCCAAAGCAGCAACAGCGAAACCCACAGCTGGAAACATCTGGAAAAAGGTAGCTCCCTTGCAAATGAACGGCCCAGTTGGCCAGTTCTCACTCTCCGGAAAAACAATGACTGACAGGCAGTTGGACAGGGAGAGGCATCCAGGATATTAGAGGGGGAGGGGGGAGGACAGGCAACAGGATGCCCTTTGCACTAAGTTTCACTCTTGCACACTCCAGAGGGCTCAGACTACAACTCCCATTCTGCCAAGAACATGGAAATTGTAATCCGATCCTTGGAACCGACCAGGTTGAGAAAGGCAGGTTGTCTGAACGCTCTGAATAAAACCTGTTGCTGGTCTAATACTGTACAGCCTCTGCCATAATATTCGGCGCAGAGGAGTTGGGGTGGGGGCAGCAGAGGCACCCAAAGGCCCTAGATACGCACCCAAGGAAAATGTAGGCCCTTCACCTATTCCCCACTCCTTCCAAAGGATCTGCTATGGTAAAAAGAGGCCTTTTTGGCAGATCCCGACAGATCCCGACAGAAGCGACCGTTGTTAGGTTTCGAAAGCGTGCGCGGACTTTGCAACCATTCCCGGAGAAAATACACGCACGTGTGCAAAGCGATTGCGCTGATGTCTGGCGAGGCCCTGGCATCCAGGACGGGATGGGTCCCCCCCATTATCCCCCCCCCAACTTTGCCTCCTCTGGATGCGCGAGGCTGCAGCTCCCACCGCCCTTACCCACACTCACGGGCGCCCGGAATGCAACAACAGTGTGACATCCCGCGGGCTCCGGGTTGAAGACGGCTCTGCCCCGCCACCAGCGCCCGCGTTGGGGAACGGCTGGAATTCGCGGGACGCGGGTCGGGGAGCATCTTCAAGCCCAGAAGAAACGCACGTGTTAAGACATTCCGACCGCCGCTTCACTCCCTCCCCCCCCGCACCCCGCTTCGGCTTTGCCCCCCCCGGGATCTCAAATCGGAGTGACTCCGGAGGCCCTTTTGGGGAAAGTCTGCAAGCGCCCCTCCCCGGTTCGAGCCGTTGGCCACCGAAGGCGGGCAGGGCGACCGAGCGCTTCTCCTCTCCGAGGGGCGAAGGCGATCTGTCAAACCCGAGAGGGCCGCCGGGCTTCTGCAGCTCCGCTTTGGGCGACCTGTAGAGAGGGGGAAGGAGCGAGACTCTTCCCCCCCCCAAAGCATTTCCCCCGAGGAAGGCAGGCAGGCAGGCAGACGCGGTCCCCAAAGCATCCGCGTGGGAGGAGGAGGAGGAGGGGGGGGGGTGTTGTTAAGAATGCTTACCTTTCTCCTGCAGAGGACTGGTCACCTCTTCCTTGCTAACCTGGGTGATAATGGGTCCGCTGTCCATTAGACCAGACGTGCAGAGCGCTCTCCTCCTGCCTCCGATCGTCTCTCCGCCGCCGCCGCCGCCGCTTCGGGGATTTTTCCGGGACTTCACACCGATTTTTTTTTTTTTCCTCCCCCCCGGTTGCTTTTTTTTTTTATAAAAAAAACCAAAAAAAAAACCACCCACCAGCAGCAGCGGAACGGAACGGGGAAAAAAGGAAGGAAAAAAAAAAAGAATAAATAAAGGGGGGGAAAGCGGAAGGGGGGGAACGGGAGGGGGGGGGGGGGGCGGGGGGGAGACGGGGAAAGGGAAAAACAAAACAAAAACAANCAGTTGGCCAGTTCTCACTCTCCGGAAAAACAATGACTGACAGGCAGTTGGACAGGGAGAGGCATCCAGGATATTAGAGGGGGAGGGGGGAGGACAGGCAACAGGATGCCCTTTGCACTAAGTTTCACTCTTGCACACTCCAGAGGGCTCAGACTACAACTCCCATTCTGCCAAGAACATGGAAATTGTAATCCGATCCCTGGAACCGACCAGGTTGAGAAAGGCAGGTTGTCTGAACGCTCTGAATAAAACCTGTTGCTGGTCTAATACTGTACAGCCTCTGCCATAATATTCGGCGCAGAGGAGTTGGGGTGGGGGCAGCAGAGGCACCCAAAGGCCCTAGATACGCACCCAAGGAAAATGTAGGCCCTTCACCTATCCCCCTATCCCCACTCCTTCCAAAGGATCTGCTATGGTAAAAAGAGGCCTTTTTGGCAGATCCCGACAGAAGCGACCGTTGTTAGGTTTCGAAAGCGTGCGCGGACTTTGCAACCATTCCCGGAGAAAATGCACGCACGTGTGCAAAGCGATTGCGCTGATGTCTGGCGAGGCCCTGGCATCCAGGACGGGATGGGTCCCCCCCATTATCCCCCCCCCCCCAACTTTGCCTCCTCTGGACGCGCGAGGCTGCAGCTCCCACCGCCCTTACCCACACTCACGGGCGCCCGGAATGCAACAACAGTGTGACATCCCGCGGGCTCCGGGTTGAAGACGGCTCTGCCCCGCCACCAGCGCCCGCGTTGGGGAACGGCTGGAATTCGCGGGACGCGGGTCGGGGAGCATCTTCAAGCCCAGAAGAAACGCACGTGTGAAGACATTCCGACCGCCGCTCCGCTCCACTCCCCCCCCCCGCACCCCGCTTCGGCTTTGCCCCCCCGGGATCTCAAATCGGAGTGACTCCGGAGGCCCTTTTGGGGAAAGTCTGCAAGCGCCCCTCCCCGGTTCGAGCCGTTGGCCACCGAAGGCGGGCAGGGCGACCGAGCGCTTCTCCTCTCCGAGGGGCGAAGGCGATCTGTCAAACCCGAGAGGGCCGCCGGGCTTCTGCGGCTCCGCTTTGGGCGACCTGTAGAGAGGGGGAGGGAGCGAGACTCTTCCCCCCCCCCCAAAAAAAAGCATTTCCCCCGAGGAAGGCAGGCAGGCAGGCAGACGCGGTCCCCAAAGCATCCGCGTGGGAGGAGGAGGAGGAGGGGGGGGGTTGTTGTTAAGAATGCTTACCTTTCTCCTGCAGAGGACTGTTCACCTCTTCCTTGCTAACCTGGGTGATAATGGGTCCGCTGTCCATTAGACCAGACGTGCAGAGCGCTCTCCTCCTGCCTCCGATCGTCTCGCCACCGCCGCCGCCGCCGCTTCGGGGGTTTTTCCGGGACTTCACACCGATTTTTTTTTTTTCCTCCCCCCCGGTTGCTTTTTTTTTTTTATAAAAAAAAACAACCAAAAACCCACCCACCAGCAGCAGCGGAACGGAACGGGGAAAAAAGGAAGGGAAAAAAAAAGAATAAATAAAAGGGAAGAAAACGGAAGAGGGGGAACGAGAGGGGGGGGGAGGGGCGGGGGGGAGACGGGGAAAGGGAAAAACAAAACAAAAACAAAAAGGGGGAGGGGGAGAAAAAAAAAAGACGGCGGCGAAGGAAACTTTGTTACAACATGGAGTTCCCTCTTCACGGGTTCTGATACAAACATGGAGCCCAGGCGCGGTTTCAAGCTACCCCTTAAAAGGGCAATGTCTCAGGCCCGCCGGCCGGGACAGCCACCAGCGGCTTGCTGGGGAACCAACCGACGTTGCCGCCGCCGCTCTCCTACAGGCTGAGGGTCCCCACCCCCCAACCCCGCCACACATGTGGGATCGCTGGGCGCGAAACGTGGGGGGAGGCGGCGGGGGTTTGATTTTCATCTTAGATCTCTGCCCGGAGCAGACACTGCAAACTCTCGGCTCTTTGGGCCTTTCCTTGCAAAGCCCTCCCTGCGGGGCGGCAGCGCTCGGCAAGGCCAGAGTGGGAGGGTGTGGTTGGATCCGCTGCTGGGGGAATCTTTCCGCCTCGCCTGATTTGGGATCCAGGATTGAAAATCGTTGGATCCGCCGCTTTTCTCCAGGGCTGGGATCGGTTTTCGGAGCGATTCTTGTCTGCTCTTGTAGAAGAGCGGCCAGGAAGGAAATGTGGAGCCGTCGAGCTCTCCTAGTCCTAGTCCAGGGGTTCTCAACCTTGGCAACTTTAAGACTTGTGGACTTCAACTCCCAGAATCCCTCAGCCAGCTTTGCTGGCTGAGGAATTCTGGGAGTTGAAGTCCACAAGTCTTAAAGTTGCCAAGGTTGAGGACCCCTGTGACCTAGTCGATAGGCTGATGTTTGGCCTGATGGGAAGATGTGCAAGCTTCCTTGTGGGAATCTTTGCCTCGTTTGCCAAGATGGTTTCCCGAAACGAGCAGAGAGTCTGTCTTAACATTCTAGCAAACATTTACCTGTTTGGGATTCTGGTGGGAAGGCCTGAGCATCCTTTTCAGAGGGAATTTCCAAATGTTTTCCAGCCTCTGGTGTTCCAGAATAGCAATCTTCCCTTAGAGTAATTAATTCACCAACCTTCCAGACTTAGTGATTTACTCAGGAAGAACTGTCAGAGCTCATGGCTGACCTTGCTGGCTGCCAGAAATGGCAAGAAGGCTTACAAGAATAAAATGAATTGGGTCTGCGGGAATTCACCTGGCTCTTTAGCACCGTGCATTGCTTTGGCAATTAAGAAATGTGTCTATCTCAGGGCCTTTCCAAGTATTGAATAGCTGTCTGTCTTGGCCCACCAGAAAGCAACTGGCATAACATTGCTTGTGCCGTTGCCAAGTTGGCCTCTATTACATCTGTTTCCAACCACTGCCAGTCTCTTGGCTCTCTTCCAAGCTAAGAGGTGACAAAGCTGAATACACACCTGGAGCTGCCCCTGAAGGGCATCAGAACAAGGAAGATAGTGTTACTTAATATCACCGGCTGACCGCAACATCCTGGGGAACAGAATAGAAGGAAAAACGAGGTTGCCGGACTCTGTGGCACAGTTGGAGCAAGTGCAGAACAGACTTAGGCGGGTGGGTGACATTTTCTCAGAAGGGGCTGGATAGAAGCATAAGGCTGGAAGCGACATCAGAGGTCTTCAATCTAGTCCAGGGGTAGGCAACCTTGGCTCTTTTATGACTCGTGGACTTCAACTTCCAGAATTCCTGAGACAGCACAGCTGGCTCAGGAATTCTGGGAGTTGAAGTCCACGAGTCATAAAAGAACCAAGGTTGCCTACCCCTGATCTAGTCCTACCCCCTGCTCAAGGCAGGAGCCTTATGCTGGAAGTGGGGGGCACGCTTTTTAAGCAGCAAGAGGGGTTGCAATTCTCTGTTTAATAGGGTCCTTTCACAGCTCAGTCAGCAGCTAATTTGCGTCTTAAGCGATGCCTTCCTTGGAGAGGGTAGCTGCCCTCTGCAGGCTGGGTCCACAGGGGATACCTCGGATTCATACAAGAATTTTCCATGAGACCGCTGCCTTCCCAACCGTTCTAGAGCACGGCTGGGGAATTCTGGGAGATGAAGTCCACAAGACTTAAAAGTCGCCAAAGTCGGTCATCCCTGATCTACAGCATTTTTGTGCTGATGTGATTTGTCTGGAAGGAGGTAGCCTCTCCTCATCAAGATGGCTAACTTGGTGCAGTCAAAATGCTGCATGCTTTTTTATGATGCACATTAAAAATGAGTTGCTCTAATTGCCACCATCCTGGCTTTTTTGATCACATCCCATAGCTGCCTCTTCCAGAGCACGTGGACTTTTTCTATATGGATCGTTTAAAGAAAAGAAAAACAGACCCAGCAAAGCCATCTCTCTAATCAGCTAGAAAGCCACAGGAACACGATAAGGAGACAAGGGGGGAGAGGGACGACAAAGGGGGAGTTCTGACCATTAAACAACTGCCTAGTGTAGAGAAATGGGGGGAAAATTGAAAAAAAATCAATCTTCACTGTACAGCAGAGGTCCCAACCTTTTGGGCACCAGGGACCCCGGTTACGTGGAGAGAGGTTTTTCCATGGACTGGAGGGGGCGTGATTTTGTGTGCTGCCTGCATCCCGCAGATGGGGTTTTGCTTGTTTGTGCAGCCCAGTTGCTGGCATGCCACCGCCCGGTACCGGTCCACGGACTGGGGGTTGGGGACCCCTGCTGTACAGGTAATCCTCAACTTACAACCATTCATTAACGACCATTCAAAATTACAGTGGCACTGAAAAAAGTGATTTACAGCCAGTTGTCCCAGTTATAACTGTTGCAGCATCCCCATGGTCATGTGATCAAAATTCGGGCACTTGGCAACCCTGTATGTATTTAGGCAGCATCTCAGGGTCATGTGGCCACCATTAGCGCACCCTTTCCAGAAAGCTTCCAATGAGCAAAGTCAATGGGTAAGCTGGATTCGGTTAAGAATCACATGATTACTTAACAATTGCAGTGATTCGCTTGACCATGACAAAAAAAAAAGGCTATTAAATTGAGTGTCACTTAACAACTGCCTTGCTTGACAGTGGAAATTCTGGTCTCAATTGTGGTTGAAAGTTCAGGATTATTTGTACGTTCTCAGCAGCACAAGCCCCACATATCCTGGAAACACGAAACGGCATTGATTGGTTAAATCTTAGATTGCTTGTAGTCAGGAAATGAACTTGATTTCTGGTTTACGTGATATACTGACCCACAAAAGGACAGTGATTGGGATCATTGCTCACCAAAGCACAAATTACGCAACTGCAGCTTACCCTCCCACGCTGTATGGCTTATTCTTAACATGTCGTGTGTCGCCCTCGATGGCGTCTCCAGATTTGTGGGTTTCTGGAGGTATTCTGTGTGCAATTTGGTAGAATATTCTTCAAAGAAGGTTGGGAGATCAATTTTGGAACAAAGTCTTTGCTTTGGCAATGTGTTTTCCAGCTCTGATCCTTACTTGCACCCCTTTGGGACTTGGGTATGGTCAAGCTTTATTTTCTGCAAGTATGCATAAGATCACATTATTGATAATGAGAAGAAAAAAAAATGGCACAACACATTCTTGTTATGTCAGTCTAAACGGAATACTGGGGTATTCCACACCCATCATTAATTCTTGTAAGGTTAGATAAAAATTGTCAGCTTTTGCTCTGCTCTAAATTGAAGTCAAGCAGCTGAGATTCTGTCAGACCATTCGCATAAACACACATGCACACATATGCACAGACTCATCTACCACACACACAGCACAGAGGCTGGAAACTGATCTTTGCTCCAGCCCAAGGAAAGATTGGAGGAGCTACTAAATTTGCCCACTGTAACGCTTGTCTCTTTTGCCTGGGTCCTCAACTGTCAGACCTCTTCCCTGCCTCCAGAGTATCTGGAATGTGAGGAATTTCCTTAGAAATCTCCATTTCCCCTTGCAGATGTGGAGATGTTTCTCCAGTTTGTTCTTTTTTATGCCTCATTTTCATTCCCACTTGTTTTTCAAGGAATACTGGACTCTTTATGGGGAAAGGTGCCTTATATTGGCAGAGTTCACAAATTATTTAACCCACGTTTTATTTATATCCATTTCTATGTCTGCTTGTCTCAACAATACGACCCTGTGTTTTACTGACTGAAAAAGAATGTTATGCATTTGACCGATGTATTATGTTGCAGGCATATACAAAATGGACAGGGCTTCAATCATGAAACAGTATCTGTCATCTTATAGTTTCTGACACACAGAATGTGGACATACCCTGTCTGTTTTCTTAGTATTCAATTTCTGAATAATCCCTTTCTCCTTTGATTAATAGTACGTAGAGGTAGATAGTTTTTCATGGCAGTAAAATAAGGACATAATATGGAGACTGTAAGGGAAAAAAACCCCTGCCAGATTAAGTTCATCCCCTCTCCTCCCCATAGAGAGTCACAGAGGTAAGTTTTGTTCAACATAGCTTGTTGAATGACCCATAAAAGACTGGGTTACACTCATCAAGCAAAGCCGTAAGGTTTATAATCTCGTCAAGTGGTTGAGTTCATCCAACAGCCTATGTGTGTCAAACAAGAAAACCATGTGATGATGGCTTAGCGCAGTGTTTCTCAACCTTGACAATTTTAAGGCATGTGGACTTCAACTCCCAGAATTCCACAGCCAGCATTGCTGGCTGTGGAATTCTGGGAGTTGAAGTCCACATGCCTTAAAATTGTCAAGGTTGAGAAACACTGGTTAGCGAGATATATGAGCCCAGTCTGGTCCCTGGTCTAAGCACTTCTGCCCATCTGTTTGCTGATCATTTCTGTGTTCTCTGTTGAGGCA